AGGAAAAGAACATTGGAGATAAACAACGCTCACCTTAATCGTAGCCGCTGTTGACTGATTTGCAAGAAGCGACAAAGAAAACTTTCTCATTCACGGTGAGTTGACAGAAACAAATAAAGCTCTACTTTTCTTCTCGGAATTGGGTAGTAATTTAAACCGTTGATGCTAAAGCTTACAAAACTCGACACAAAAGGATTAAAACTATCATTTGCCATGTTTGGAGATACTGTAAAGATCTAACTTTTGCGCATCCACTGTTTACGGCTTCGTGTTCACGTATGAATTCACCCGTCAATCAAACCAATCGCTTTTTAATGGTTTCCTTTCTGATTCTGTTGAGATCACTTCGTGTGAATATACTAAAACAATTACTCACCTCAGGCTCAGTTAATATTGTTGAATAATTCCCGAGACGAAAGACGAATTCAACAATATTAACTTCGCCTTCTGCGAATAATTGTTAAATAATGACACATGTACGTATGCGACAAACCTTAAAAAGAGCAATAAGTTGATGTTAGTTGGAGCAATGTTTTTTTTCGTAGCACGAAAATATGATATTAAGGCAATGCCCTTGTTTTGCACTGCGCATCACCTACTGCGCATAGCGCTGCGACTTCAAAGGTGGCGGTGATTTTCGCCGGTCGTCTTAAAAGAGGTAAGGAGGGACCCTTTTGTAGTCGAAATGCTTTCAATACCGATTTTGATAACTCTACCAGGCTAAAAAGGTGTTCGCCTTGAAACTCGACTCAGTCCTTTCGCGGTAAATGATCGTGTACCTTTGTTGTCTTTTCGCGATGAAGAATACGGTGACCCTTTTTTATCTGCGTTTTTCACTGGTTATGGTTACACAAAAAAATGTGGATAGTAGAGATTATAAATTTTGTGATGTGGATGACGTGAAACTTCGTACTTAGAACCACAGTTAAAATTGTCCATTTCTCTTATTTTTTCAAGATCGGGTAATCTGAATCTATTTTACTAAAAATATCTATACCTGGATTTTTGAAAACCGGGTTAGCAAAAATATCAAGTCATTCTACTACTTGGCAATTTAAAACAATAAAACTCATTCAGAGGCTGATTAAAAGCCATTATCTGACGTCGGGCAGTAAGTTAATGGTCCCTAGAAACATTCCAACGAGTCCACATTTAAAATGACGCCAATTATAGAACATTTGACTTCGAGAAGGTTCAAACCGTTGCCATTTCAGTCTAGAAATTGTTCAGTTCAGTGAACTGCAGCGAAAGAGTGCTTGGTTGAGGCTTACATAACAACTGAAATAGTAAGCAAAACACTAAATTACGACAGGATTTCGCATGGAATAGACAACAAACTGAATGAAACATACTAAACAAATTATCACCTTATATACTGCAAAAACCGGTCTATGGTTCAATGCCATTAGAGCCCGCTGAAACTAGACCCATTGTAGATCCAATTTTCCTGAGTCGAGAGTTGCTTTTTCAAGGTACAATAAACAAAGCTAAACAACTACGAAACGTTTTTATGGATGACACAGAATATTTTGGCGAAACCGCAGTTCAACCACGCGATCACATACCTGTCAACACCATGCGGAAATCACACAATCAAACACTTTCGCGGCGCTAATACGACTATCCAACGACTATCCACTACCACGCAAACTACCACGCATAACGACTATAATGTTCTCACGTTTAACACAAGCGAAATATCATCGATAGTTCATCATCTGCGAGCCCTATGAGAAGATGCGCGGACCATATTTCTCAAGTCTTATTAAGAAAATTTCCCGAGAATGTTGGAATTGTCGCACGCATGTTTGCCAAACTAATTATTACCTGTCAGTCACGCGACCCAAAAATGGCCTCATTACGGAACGGCGCCTGTAGATACGTGTCGCCCGCAAAATCGCGGGTCCCATGACTATTTGCGCGCTCACAAAGGGAGCCGACGCATGTCGCGTCCTTTGATTCAAGACTCAAGTGTTAGGGTATTGTTTCCCCGATACAAAGCTAATTTAACTTAAGAAAATCTATAGATCGAAGCTTTCGCGCTACTCTCTGTTTTATAAGGAAATGCAAACGCTCAACTTGATAAATATTTTGACTTCATAACATATTTTAAC